ATTGCTTATTAAAAGATACCGGTGACCTCTAAAATTCAGTATATTCATAATATATTTTTCATTTGATTTTTCGAACAAAAAGTCCTTCAAAACCACTATTTCAAATTAAAAAAGAAGTTTCATATACCACACTTTGGTCACATTTGGTAAGATGTCTTACTTTCTTTAGCTCGTCATCTGTCAGTTTCACTTCTTCTTTGTCTTTAGTAACTTCTATGAAGAGAACATAATGCCTAGCTGTGGTCACAGCACCTAATGTAAAGAATAGACTACTTTGTAAATGTATAGCAACAAGCAAATATATGAACGAGAATATGTTGCACGACCTTACCATTTGGATTTATTAGAAATAACATTGATGTGTGTCAAAATCTTTTTTAAACTTGTCTGATCATTTATTATTTCTGTCTCTGGATTTATAAAAAATAGAGATAAATAAACCTCATTGCAATTGCTTGAATTTCTTGTTTTTGTCATAATTTTGATTGAATGCGTTGTGTGCTTCTTACCTCTAAGCTTAGATAGGTTAATATTCTCAGTGGCTGTGTAATCGACTATCCTCACTCCCTTTAGCTGGTTTACAGTATTCACAACTGAGTTCATAAATGTTCCCTCAGGAGTCTTCTCCCATACAACATTCAGCATCTGGCCTGCCCTGTTGACACAAATCATCAATGTGCTTTATGAATTTAAAACAGAACTCATGTATATCAATTACACCCCATGCGGACAGATCGCCTAAAATTACATTCGTATGATGTGAGACACGACATTCACCAGGAAAGTAGAATCATTTTGTCACCCATGATGCAAATTATTTTTCTACTGCTTAGTAAATGATGAATGACAATCATCATATTACGTTCTTAAAGTATGACAATAGCACGCCGTCTTGTAATTTCAAGGTAACTCGTTAAAAAATGATGAAATGACGACGAAAAGATAATACCGCAACAAAATATTTGTAGATTTCTTTAAAAAACTAAGAAATATAATCTCATATTGAATTTTTAAAAACATGTACAAATAGTAAAGCATGTAGGTCCGATTCCCCCTGGTAGCATTAACATTGGTCTCGTATACGTCATACAATTATTATTTGAAGCCCAACTATTATTCAAACTTATGATCGGACACAAGCATGATGTGTACTTCTATGTAATACTAATAAAGTTACATCGTACTTATGTCCGATCATAAGTTCGAATGATAATACATGTTTTTCTGTTTTGTGATGTACATGATGTATATTTCTTAGTTTTTCAAAGAAATCTACAAAATATTTCATTACGGTTTTCTCTTTATATCATAATTTCTATCACCGGCATCACTTTTCAAACGAGTTACCTTGAAATATCAAGATGTCATGCTGTTCTCATACTTATAGAACTCAATGTAACTGACCTTGACCATTTATTAAGCAGTAAAAATTAATTTTCTTCATGAGTGACAAAATGTTTTTACTTTCCTGGTGAATGTCGAGAGAAGAAGAAAAGGGGAATTTTTATTATATAAGTTATCTTAAAATGCAAAGTCCTCAAAAAGACATTGCACTATTATCTGAACAGTTATTATATTGTAGTGTTTTACGAGGAAATGAAATGCTGGATCCGGAATTGAGGGGGTAGTATTCCCATTTATGTGACACCTTATATTATCAGAGAAAAAAAGTATACAAATACCTGTACTGGAATTCGTAGACAGGCATTTTGTTATTGTAGCCAACAATCTTGATGACATCTCCAAATCTGTATCTGCATAGTCCATAATTGTTGGTGACCAGTAGTTCATAGCATTTGCCTACCTCGATCTGTAAATATAAAATAACACATTTATATGGATCATTCAGACTATAAGTTTTTTCTCAAGGAACATTTTCTGGGTGTGATATTTCGAGCTTTGGTGAAGTCAAGATATTATAGAAAAAGTAGATGAACTTTGGATACTTTGATATGTAATTATAAAAGGCAAAACTATGTGTATACGTCTGATCAACATTTGCATATTTAAAGATTCAAATCAAGATTTTTTGCAATTCAAGAATAACTTGAATTAAAGGAGTGCATGAATTGCATGGTGATTGTTAATATATATATATTTGATACCTGGTCATATAACGTATTATGACAGGTTTGGTCAGTTAAGTCCTGACTTATATTTGACTTACTTGATGGACTCTCAGAGGTTTTGCATTTTCATCATCCACAGGTAGAAACTCATAGAACATTCCAGAATTCAAGGTGAACTGTGAATAACTTTGCCCTGGCGTCATGTTTTCAGGCCTGTCAACTGTCCCGCAATTTGCGTATTTGTCACGCATTTGCTGAAGAATTTGAAGTCACGCCAGTTTTTTTTGCGTGACACAAAATGTCACGCAAATACGCATTTTACCTGGTAATTGTCACGCAAATATGTTTCTGTAAAAATTTTTTCAAAATATGTTTATGATACGGTAAAAATACGAACGTCGGAAAAAAACGAACGCAATTTGTTCGGATTTGTCACGCGAATCCCGTATATGTCACGCATGTTCATTGGAAATTTTCTTCACCTGGAGTGCTTCCATTGGTTGAATCTTGCCATCATCTCGCATTACTTTATAAAAGGGAAACTCCTCACAGAGGGAATGGTCAAACTGCAATAACAGTATATATTTAATATTACCAAAAATTAAATTCTTTAAATATTACCATCCACTTGGTTTCTGTGAGAACTAAAATTGTTAAATGCATTTTTCTCTGAATCACTTTCATGCATGGATGAATTAGTTTCTCACTTATTTATCAACCAATTTTTTTTAAAAAAAACATGTGAGGATGAACTAGTGTGAATTATTGCTTATTAAAAGATACCGGTGACCTCTAAAATTCAGTATATTCATAATATATTTTTTATTTGATTTTTCGAACAAAAAGTCCTTCAAAACCACTATTTCAAATTAAAAAAGAAGTTTCATATACCACACTTTGGTCACATTTGGTAAGATGTCTTACTTTCTTTAGCTCGTCATCTGTCAGTTTCACTTCTTCTTTGTCTTTAGTAACTTCTATGAAGAGAACATAATGCCTAGCTGTGGTCACAGCACCTAATGTAAAGAATAGACTACTTTGTAAATGTATAGCAACAAGCAAATATATGAACGAGAATATGTTGCACGACCTTACCATTTGGATTTATTAGAAATAACATTGATGTGTGTCAAAATCTTTTTTAAACTTGTCTGATCATTTATTATTTCTGTCTCTGGATTTATAAAAAATAGAGATAAATAAACCTCATTGCAATTGCTTGAATTTCTTGTTTTTGTCATAATTTTGATTGAATGCGTTGTGTGCTTCTTACCTCTAAGCTTAGATAGGTTAATATTCTCAGTGGCTGTGTAATCGACTATCCTCACTCCCTTTAGCTGGTTTACAGTATTCACAACTGAGTTCATAAATGTTCCCTCAGGAGTCTTCTCCCATACAACATTCAGCATCTGGCCTGCCCTGTTGACACAAATCATCAATGTGCTTTATGAATTTAAAACAGAACTCATGTATATCAATTACACCCCATGCGGACAGATCGCCTAAAATTACATTCGTATGATGTGAGACACGACATTCACCAGGAAAGTAGAATCATTTTGTCACCCATGATGCAAATTATTTTTCTACTGCTTAGTAAATGATGAATGACAATCATCATATTACGTTCTTAAAGTATGACAATAGCACGCCGTCTTGTAATTTCAAGGTAACTCGTTAAAAAATGATGAAATGACGACGAAAAGATAATACCGCAACAAAATATTTGTAGATTTCTTTAAAAAACTAAGAAATATAATCTCATATTGAATTTTTAAAAACATGTACAAATAGTAAGGCATGTAGGTCCGATTCCCCCTGGTAGCATTAACATTGGTCTCGTATACGTCATACAATTATTATTTGAAGCCCAACTATTATTCAAACTTATGATCGGACACAAGCATGATGTGTACTTCTATGTAATACTAATAAAGTTACATCGTACTTATGTCCGATCATAAGTTCGAATGATAATACATGTTTTTCTGTTTTGTGATGTACATGATGTATATTTCTTAGTTTTTCAAAGAAATCTACAAAATATTTCATTACGGTTTTCTCTTTATATCATAATTTCTATCACCGGCATCACTTTTCAAACGAGTTACCTTGAAATATCAAGATGTCATGCTGTTCTCATACTTATAGAACTCAATGTAACTGACCTTGACCATTTATTAAGCAGTAAAAATTAATTTTCTTCATGAGTGACAAAATGTTTTTACTTTCCTGGTGAATGTCGAGAGAAGAAGAAAAGGGGAATTTTTATTATATAAGTTATCTTAAAATGCAAAGTCCTCAAAAAGACATTGCACCATTATCTGAACAGTTATTATATTGTAGTGTTTTACGAGGAAATGAAATGCTGGATCCGGAATTGAGGGGGTAGTATTCCCATTTATGTGACACCTTATATTATCAGAGAAAAAAAGTATACAAATACCTGTACTGGAATTCGTAGACAGGCATTTTGTTATTGTAGCCAACAATCTTGATGACATCTCCAAATCTGTATCTGCATAGTCCATAATTGTTGGTGACCAGTAGTTCATAGCATTTGCCTACCTCGATCTGTAAATATAAAATAACACATTTATATGGATCATTCAGACTATAAGTTTTTTCTCAAGGAACATTTTCTGGGTGTGATATTTCGAGCTTTGGTGAAGTCAAGATATTATAGAAAAAGTAGATGAACTTTGGATACTTTGATATGTAATTATAAAAGGCAAAACTATGTGTATACGTCTGATCAACATTTGCATATTTAAAGATTCAAATCAAGATTTTTTGCAATTCAAGAATAACTTGAATTAAAGGAGTGCATGAATTGCATGGTGATTGTTAATATATATATATTTGATACCTGGTCATATAACGTATTATGACAGGTTTGGTCAGTTAAGTCCTGACTTATATTTGACTTACTTGATGGACTCTCAGAGGTTTTGCATTTTCATCATCCACAGGTAGAAACTCATAGAACATTCCAGAATTCAAGGTGAACTGTGAATAACTTTGCCCTGGCGTCATGTTTTCAGGCCTGTCAACTGTCCCGCAATTTGCGTATTTGTCACGCATTTGCTGAAGAATTTGAAGTCACGCCAGTTTTTTTTGCGTGACACAAAATGTCACGCAAATACGCATTTTACCTGGTAATTGTCACGCAAATATGTTTCTGTAAAATTTTTTTCAAAATATGTTTATGATACGGTAAAAATACGAACGTCGGAAAAAAACGAACGCAATTTGTTCGGATTTGTCACGCGAATCCCGTATATGTCACGCATGTTCATTGGGCCATTATACCCTCAGAGGCTGCGTGGGCATGTGATACAATAGGGATCTGCTCTCCAATGTAGCGTTCTTTCACTATATCTCCATATATCTTAAACGACCCTGTGGATATCATCATGATCATTGGCAAATGTTGCCATATTCTTGGACCAATACCTTCAATCCCTTTGTTGAATTCCTTTCGCAGTTCATTTGCTCTAATCTTGTCTCCTTTCAACTGTTTTTCCAGTTCTTCCCGGATTTTCGAATCAATGTCCAAATCTTTCCATATTGTTCCCATTTCTATGTCATCACATAAGTGTTGCCACTTGGACTCTATTAGTTCGAAGAATTTAAGACCAACTGAAGCTAATGGAATCATGATATGGTTTAGTTTTCTTTCCTTCATTCCGTAAAGGGCATACAAGTAAAGAGCCTCATCTTGGGTTGAAACATCAAGTACCATTCGAGGGGCAGCTGTGCCTGGCGTTGACATTTTAAATCGCCCTGCTAACCCACCCATAGGGATTCCTTTGTCTGTGTATATCGGGTCTTGAATCACATTCACATCTAACGTCTTTAACAGTTTCAACTCGGGAGAAAGGGTTTTTCGTAAGATGTAGTTTGCTGCCAAAAAGGTTTTGAAGATTTCCAAGCCTCCAATTTTGTTAGCACCGGAATTGGAGACTGGATATTTTTTATTATGTCCAGTAGTACCTGAAGTAAGTACGATGTAGGTTGGTGTAGAATTGGCAACTATAACATCTGTCTCCCCTGCAATTACTCTATCAAAATATTCCTCATAATGATCATATTTAGTGACTGGATGTTGCTCAATGAAATCCTCTGGAGATTTGATCATAGAGAAGTTATGATCAATTCCATATTTGGTATTCTTGTTTGTATTGATAAGCTTCATGAGGAGTTTGTCCTGTGCCTGTTTAGGGTCAGTCTTCAGCATAGACCTGTATGCCCATAGACCCAGAATTCCAAAGATTCTATGTAGCATGTATAGGCCAAGAACTGAACGAAGGGTAAGACTTTCTCCAACATCCAATCGCAGAATATCCAAGCATCCCACACCGCATATTCCTGAGAAAAAATATTTTGGTGAAGAACTATCATGAGAGTCGTTTTTCACATTAGCATGTAATGAGAAAATTATAAATAAAAAGGAGTGGTATCGATATGGTGAACTTTTTGAACACGCGTTTCTCTTAAACCAGTCATGAAAATATTCTGAAAGTTTTACACATCGTCAATTTAATGGTCATCTTTTGGATGGTAACATTATAGGTTGAATTTAATCTATAAACTTTTCTCTTTATTGTTTTAGAAAACACATCAGACACTTCTCTCGTTCTTGGTATCATATGTTCAGAATGAAATGAAACATCTATCCGTACCTCATTGGAACAAAACGACATAAACACAACTTTAACAAAACAATTATATAAAATATATAAAAAATAAATAATTTTTGCATTAAATTGTTGGCAATCAGTGAACATTACATAAAGGACCTTGTTTTTTACAGAATGTTTTCAATAATTGGTGAGAAAAACATTGTTGAATTCAGTTCACCATATCGATACATATTTAACGCACAAATCTATATGCTGATATAAAAGGTTTATCAAATACGAATATATACATATATGTTAATTCACGAATTCTTGGATTATTTCTTCATCTTAACACACTTTGTTGATGGTTTGACATATATCTGTCACAGGGTGGGCCAAAATAAACAATACACACGTAAATTAAAGATGAATATCATATGACATATAGTTCTTAAAACTTTCACATTGATACTTCTGACAAATTCTCTATACCATGATACCATGGACCTTCCCTTTGCTCCACACTTGATGACACAATTAAACAAGCTAATAACTTATCCCATTTCAAGAAATCATATAAATCCAACCCTCTTTCAAAATATTAATGATAGCAGTTTAAATCAATCTCATTAGGCATATCATCACTTGTAATTGCATTTTATTTTATCACATACTATGTAGAACAGTTGCAACTTTAAAATCTAAAAATAAAAATGGACATAATCTAAAATGTTTTATTCTAGTTTACACCATGTTTACACCATACTCGTTTACAAGTTTGATTCTCATGCCTTGTTTCTAGTTCAAGTTAAACCCAATACCACGGCTTTCATCTGAATGTTATTGTTGCCGTGATTGGGTTTAACTTCCGTGCTATGCTTTCATTTGTTGCAAATTCTCACTATCCCTTATTAATTAAACGCGCATGAAATTCTATGCGCTCGCATAGCCCACCATTAATTTTTTTTGCATTAAGGGATGGACAGGAACAGAGGTTAAACCTAGGGCGGGCCACAAGATATGTCAGATAAGAAAGAAGGCCCAGACTAGGTTTAACCTGTTGAACTAGCCTTGTTTCATACCTTGATAATCCAAGATGATTTTACACTCTCACTGGTTCACTTACCAAGCACTGTAGCGACAATAAATGCCCATACTCCTTGTGTGTTAAGGAATATGTATCCGGCCAAAGACAGGGCCACTCCACCCAGGAGACAAACCTTGCTCTTTACCCCTATAGTCATCTCTATATACTGCTGTAGACAGTATATCGCCTTATACTGTTATATAGCAGTTACCATGTACATGCACCATATAATAATATCAATACGTTGATAGTACTAGACAAACAATCAAAGTGCATGCAAGGAGGATTGGCTCCCAGAGTGCACCACCGATATTCTGTCCCATATATGGGTATGTCGTAATACAAAATTCGAATTCAAACAGCCGCCATTTTGTTCACTTCAACATTTAAATCGTGAATTTTGGTCTTATTTCCAAACGAAAAATTCCAAAACTCACAAGAAATGATCGAGATATTGGTTCGAATCTTTTGAACTGTTTATTTTGAATTTATAGTCGGTTTTAATTTCAGAAAATAACGACATTTCGACGTTTTCATTGTTGGAAAATATCGAGTTTCGATCCTGGGAGCCAATCCTCCTTGAAGTGCATGTAAGTACACACTATCCTACCTCGATCGCGCATGCGCGACTTTCAACCAGGTCGCCTTTGGGTATATCGACTGCTAAGTAAACAGTTTGGTGCTCGGAGTGAGTCAATATTGTTATTCGCTTAAACTTCAGTGATGCAATAGTGAAGTCCATGTTCCAAGTTATATGATGGTTGAAGAAAGAATGTAAATATTCTCCTCAAAAAAAGTTAAAGCCCAGTCTTTTTCCTCATAGGTTTACAAGTTAAACCCCATGTATCTATTTTCTAAGCCCGAAATGAAAGAAAACTGATAATGTAAATGGAAATGTACAATGTACATTGACTCTATTCTCTATATTTCAGGAAATTTTCAATTTAATCTCTCTATTACAATATGTCAAAAATTGATGTCAAAGTTGAGGAATTTTTAAAAAGATGGCAGAACACATGTTAACCAATGGGAAGGGTTAGGGGCAAATCAGATTTTTGGATATCTATTCGGTAAAACATTTATTAAAAATAAATTCTGAGTAGACAATTGAATTGTTTTACTTTCTGCATGTTTGGTGTTAAGCTTACTTAGTGAGAATTACCGACATAGAGCATCAACCGTTTTTTTTGACAACTCATTTTTGACCCGGCTGTGTTATTTCAATGGGAGGTTTATTGAGAAATGATTTTGACTTTTGAGATTCATAACTTTGTAAAACCTGGAGAAACAAATCAATATTTTGTTGTAGACAAGTTAGCAAATTCAATTGTCTATTTAAATTCGATTTTTGAGAGCAATTAAATGCATGGATATTTTCTTATATGACTTTTGGAAACAACCACTTCCCATTGGTTTACATAGGTTCTGCCATTTTTTTAAATTCCTCAAATTTGACATCATTTTTTGACATATCGTAACGGAGAGATTGAATTGAAAATTTTCTGAAATATAGAGAATAGAGTCAAGGTGCATTTCCATTTCCATTATCAGTTTTCTTTCATTTCGGGCTTAGAAAATAGAGTCTAAAGATACATGGGGTTTAACATGTAAACCTATGAGGAAAAAGACTGGGCTTTAACTTTTTTCATGTATATATATATCCTAAAATAGCTATCCGAACTGGACTTTAAGTCCACCATTTTAGGCAATTTAACCGCACAATAAATTCAACCTAATCCTCCATCTTGTTCATAATAGCCTCTCCTGACCAAACCGGTTCTTGTGCCATGCTCATCTACACGGGGATTTCAAAAATGCAAATACAAGTGTATCATTCGTATCAACCACACGGGAAATTTGAAATGTAATTTACGAGTGCATTATCCGTATCACCCACATGCCATTCTCACAAACAGTGATATTTAAATGTAAGGTCTTGATGAATTCTCACGTGTGAAAATTCTGATCTTACTCCATTTCAATGCTATGCACAGATGAAGATGCATCCATATAACATGAGCACAGGTTGTCATTTCATCAAAATACATGTAGTACATGAAGGTAACAGTGTGTATGTATACCTACGGTGGATCCTATGTATGTATACCTATAGACTCATGTTTTGATGTAGCAAGCGTAGTTGGCGTAGTCAATTGCAACATACTATCATGTAGTTAGTTCAATAAAATACCCGTAGCAGACGTAGATATACATACGGTGGATCCTATGGTGTGTTTGTATACCTATAGACTCATGTTTTGATGTAGCAAGTGTAGTAGGCGTAGTAAACATACTATGATGTGGTTATTTTCAATAATAAAGAAAATTCAATTTATTAAACTTTAAAATCAATTTCTCAAATAAGTACAATATTTCTTAATTTTGGAATCTCAGGACACCCTTCAAAAAGAATTTATTGCCTTTGAAACTAAGGCAGAAGTACAATGCATTGAAACCAATGATGCCAATACGGTCCCCCACATATTTCCCTCGGTATAAACCCTGTAGCCTAAACTTCCCAGCACATTACAATGTAGCCCCTAAGGGCCGGTCCGCTGGTCATTATCAGGTTATTTTTGATACAGACCAGTTGATTTTTTCACTGGGTATAGGAGAATAACATTGCAACTGGTCCGTAATTCCATTTTGACCAGCAGGTTTCAGATCCTTAGGGCCTAAGACATAACCAATTTTTATTACATGCACATGTAAGAAATTTGAAAATAGAAAAATAATTTCTAATTCATTTTAGATTAATGAAAGTGATGAAACCTCGATTTAGGTAATCACATTTTGTTCATTGGGATGCAGCTATCATTATCCATTCATTCATTTGTTTGCTACTCTGTGGAGTACAAATACGCAAATGCGAGTAGGTAGTTACCAGTTTCACCACCAGGTGACTCGCTCGGGTCAGATAGCATGGCGGGTTTAGTAGAAAGTTCCTTTTAACTTAAATTACATCTGTTTTAGTGGTTCAATTTTCATATTGCCCTTATGTATCGAATAGTTATGCAAATTAAAGTATGTCCAGTAAAAGAAAATATTATATGTCCAATACAAGAAAAGATATTTCACTTTTTGTGGTTTTGTAATATGGGGTCTATGGGGAATCAACCCGAACTAGAAGTCACATTTTCAAAAAATATTAAATTTTCAAAGTTGATAAACAATTTTCGAAACCATATTTTTAGATGTATTTTTACATGTAGATTTCAAATATAACATCATTTTGACTGAATTTTAAATACTTAGTGACGTAAATCAAGGTCATTTCTACTCACATCTAGTCTATTGGGAATTGAGAAGCAATTGTAGAAGTGGAGACTAAGAGTGGCTCTTTGTAAAGAAATTGAACCAATTTGTTACTTTTCCAAAATAAAATGTAGATGATCTAAAACAATGATCCCAAAAATGCAAAAGAAAGGACAAATCTGAAAAACATACTAGTAATAAAATAACTAAAAAGATCCCAGATGTTCAGTGAAAAGCGCAAAGTAAATCATAGATGAAGAGAAAATAAAATAAGTGTTTTAAGGGACTATACTAACATAAAGATAACTCCTTATTGATATAGTGTATGGTCAGTAAAAGTTAAAGCTAGTTTAAATAGATTTAGCTTTTTTCCACAAACTATAAAACATCATTTTGAAAGAGATTTCAATAGTATACAGACAGTGATTGCCTTTGAGCAATGTAGTGTAAAATATGACAGTTACTATTTGTTTTGATTACTATATCTAGTATATAACCTATTATTATGTAATCTATTTGAAGAAACAAATAAGTAGTCTTTCATTTTCAACATTTAATGATGACAGCTTCGTATATGCATTTCTATTGCATTTGGCCATTCAAACCCCCATAAGACCTGGTAGCAGGGAAGATAAAGGGTACTTTTGACTGCTCACATGATCTAATTAACTGGTCATTTGTACTTTTCATCTTCCCTGGTAGCAAGGATTTAGGTTTTCGAGGAAATTAGTAATTCTATTTCATAGCATGTGGCCATGAATAATCCAATGAGCATCCATAATACAAAGAGTAATTGAGGGCATATAATTTGAATATGCATGGGATTACACATTATTTTTTGATCTACTTGTAATAGTTCTAAAACTAAAACGTGAAAGGCCAGGCATGCAAACTGGCATGGTATTGTGTTACAAAACATTATTTCATTCTAGATACAATAACATGCATATTGGCATACTTCGTTTTAATATAAGATTGTTATAACTCCAAGTTTTGCAAGTCACATGACCAATTCTTAGAGAGTTGATTTGTTGAAACAGTTGATATCAGATATGACAATTTGAAATTAGAAATAAGCTGTTTGTCTGGAGATGGTACAATTTCACACTGAATTCTAGCTTAATGAGAGGGAATTGAGATGGGGCATGTATCTGAGATGAAAGCCTGTGTTTCAAATAGTAAAATTCCATGTCTATCTCAATTTTTTTGAAAATGGCAGTTAGTACAAAGTTATTCTCACGCGACGATTTGACCTTTAATGACCTTCTCAAGGTCAAAAAAGGTCTGTTTTCAACTTGCTTCAAATTGACCAAATTTTTTTTCAAAATCATCTACATCTTTTCAGAAGTTCTAATTTGACTTTACAAGTTCTCAGAAATTCAAATCTGACTTAAGTTTGAACTCATAATATTGTGAGCAACTAGGTGGTGACATTTTGTCATGTTAATGCCTTGTTTGCACATTTGAATCCATTGATATTTATTTTTTATACATGTCGCCAATGTTTGTTGCACTAATTAATCTCATCATTTGTGATCAGTTAATATTCGGGATCTATTTCCGATATAATCCTTATATTGTTGTTTTTGACGATTCCCCGGGTCACAACCATTCATTTTCAACCGGGAATACATATCTCCGTAGTAGTTCGTTTAGTGCGTTTCTGCCCGGGATTTAATTTCCCGGGGAAATGTGATAGACACCACGTACAAATTTCTGGCTATGACAAAAAGTAAAGGTTTTAACGAATATTTTGGAATAATATCAATGAGTTTATCAATTAAATCATATCATTTGTAACACTATATCCTCAAAAGTGCTGCGTATCAATCACAAAGCAGACAGAAGTGGAAGTTGCAGCCCATTTGAAATTTACTATTGGGCGTGTCATGGTCCACTTTGCCAAACATGGAAGCAAAAAATGAAAACATTTTCACAATCGTAGATAAAAGTGAGTATATCAACTACTGAGACACATTAGCTTCCCTTGTTAAGTCGTATCATGAAGTCCCCATATACCATTGATAAATTTAGCCTAGAAGTATAATGATTTGTGCTATCCCCATGCAACGATTCTAAGATTTGTTACCTTGTTTTTCATATTTTATACGATTTTTATAAGATGAGTTGTGATCAGCTTTTTATTCATTGTGGTTTTTTAATATTTCAGTTATATGCAACTTGATCATCAAAACTGAGGTGTAGCGTCACTTGGGAGCATCTCTGGTCTGGATAGCGCGGTAAGGGACTTCCAAATTATCAGAGCGGAGTAGCCTACAATCATCTAAACTTTCCTTGTCAACTTTGGCACTGAAAAATTAGAAATTTATATCATATTCATCGCACGTCTATTTTACCAGTATGTCATAGGTACTCTGGCGCCCTAGGTTACGTTGTGAAACTCCATCAAACAACATCATGAAGATAGTAATATAGACAGCAAGACAGCAATATGCAGATTGGAACGATTTTTGGCATATTGAGTTTCTCTATTTTGTAGATCATGTGACTCATGATATATGCATGACAAGATCAATGCTGTCAAAGAAGATTATCAGTTTATTAGCAAATGTGTGATCTCCCTGAAATAATTCAACATTTACAGAAAGTCTATGATCTTGGTCAGTATTCTACCTGGTTTCGTCTCAATCGTAGAACATATTAAAATTATTATTATATGTTTAGTACCCAGACTCCCATATCTCCATTTATTTATGTCATCTGCTTATTGACATAATGATGCATTGAAATAAGACTGGCCCTAAAATTAAAACAGTAAGCAAGAAGTTGTGAAAAAGCTATGAACTAAAATTGGAACATCATAACATAAGGTTTTTGTGCAAAACCGAAAATTGACAAATAGAAATATCTATTCAATTTTATTTTCTTTCCTTGGGTGCAAAATTCTCAACTTCGCAATTCAGACCAAAATTGGTAGAAATATGCCAATTTTTCATGATTTTCTCATTTTCAAGTGGGTGCAAATGGATTTTCATGTGGGTGCAAGCTTTTCTGTAATGCTTTGGAGATCACTGTTACATGAAATTCCTTTATTTTCAAGTTGCCATAGAAATTTTAAATATGATTGTAAGATTAGAATCACAAAGTTTTGTTTTTTCATTTGTCTTTTTGCTAACGTCACTGTGCATTTCTTAATACAATTAATGATAATGATCAATAATTAATTACTAAATACAAATGATTCAAATACCAGTTTTTTTTTTATTTATCTGGGATTGTTTGTGGCTAAGCTTATAGTGCGAGTCTGTTGGTTTGTGTGTCAATCAAATCTAAATAAATGAATAATGAAAGGACTACAGTATGGAAAAATTTATTCACATTTTTATTGATGCAAAATGTTTGTACATTTCAGATGTACATGTAAAATATGTACTATGGTCCTTTTATTGCTTTTTTAGGTTTGATTGATGCACAATTAAATTGACTCATATTGTACACACAAAGTCTTTATTCACATTTTTATTGATGCAAAATGTTTGTACATTTCAGATGTACATGTAAAATATGTACTATGGTCCTTTTATTGCTTTTTTAGGTTTGATTGATGCACAATTAAATTGACTCATATTGTACACACAAAGTCTGGCCTCTTATTTGATGTTTTGTATGTTCTCAATGAAGTATAGCTTAAGCTCTCAAAATTACAGGAGGTCAGAACTCAGAACTTGATGGCATGATAAGCATATGGAAAATAAAACATTGATTATTTAAGCAAAAAAAATTATGGACATGAATTATTGTTTTCTTATCTGTTCCAAAGAGCATTTTTCGTCTGTTGTTGTGTTTATAAAATACTGTGCAAAACACTAGGCTGAATTCTACCATTTTAATTTTGATACTCCCTGGAGTTAGCTATTTCTAGTTTTTACACCAAGTTGTGTCTTTTGTTTCAGTTATTGTGTCCTAGGAATAAACTGAAGAAATCTGGTACAGCAAGGCATACACAGAGACACCTATTGCCTGAATGTCCGATCCTGCTAGAGAACTTTTTGCCATTGTGGGTAAGCTAACTTAAAGTCCCCGTGTAAAGTTTGAAAATATGTTTTTTATCATTATTTACTATTTGTCATGACTTCTAAAGTTATTTTAGAGATTTTTGATTAAAAAAAATTGAAAAAAAAGCGTCAGCTTTTAATTTCTCAAATATTCTTTCCTGCCATTTTTCAAAAAATGTGAACTTTTTTAATCATCAAATATTCCTCCATACATTTAAAAAAATCTTTTTAACACCAATGCAAAGATTGAACAAAGGTCACACTATTTCAATAATAAAATGTTGTATTTAATGTGCCACTTCAATGCATATAAAAAGTATTTTGCAACTTTAGTGATGTCATTTTTGCTATGTTAATCTTTTCTAAATATGCTTAAAGAGGCTCTATGCCATAGGATAGCGCAATCAAGACCCCTCTGGACTTTTTTGCATATTGAGTTTCACCACATATATACCCATCTACTTACCAAAGAAGAAGTCCCAAATCCCCCTCTTTCAGTGTTAATTTTGCGATTGTGTAGGCCGATCTTATTATTTTCGAAGAAATTAATTCAATCTGAAGTTTGAATATTCCGGGAAAGTCCTCCTGTTATCTGATTGGTCGTTGAATTTGTTTATCATAAAGCTGTTTGGCTTCCTGGTTCAAGGCGCTTGTCTGAATCAATGGGGATTCCCATCGATAGCCGAAGAATCCATTGTGTTTAATTCTGGAGTTTGGTTGTTCTGTTGATTATTTCCGATATTTCGGCAATAATATACCAAAAAGTAATTCTCAAGATATATCCATGGTATGCGAGATATATGAGCATTAACAATAGGACATCATTGATTGTCTGGGGAAGAAACCTATGGCAGAATGCATCTTTAACTTCAAAAATAAACCAATGTTGATTGTCTAACCAGGTTAAAGGAAGAATAAATTATGTTTTAGGTATTACTGTACCATTGGTTTCTATGAGAACTAAAATTTTGAAATGGATTTTTCTCTGAACCATTTTCATGCATTGATGAGTTCGAACCTATTTTCTTAGTTTTTTCTGCATAAAAACATGTGAGGATGAATGCTATGCATTGGTGTGAATTATCGCTTATAAACAGATATGTGTGACCTCTCAAAGTTAGTTTTAAACAAAATCACTATTTTTCGAACAAAAAGTCTTTCAAAAAAAATTTTTTGAAAAAGCTTCACATATCACACTTTGATAACATTGGGTAAGACTACAATATAAGCCAAAGTAGTTTTAACTTTATATGGGGGCTTTAAAGCTTTGTTTTAATTAGGAAAATCAAATATTTAGGATAACCAAATATTAAGAATAACACGAATGAAATGAAGATGTAAAGTACAGGGTCTGTCTTTCTGATATCTTATTTGCATAATCTGTAAAGAAAAAACTACTTTTAGGGCTGGAAATAAAATATAAACTCACATCATTTTCAATACCTCCATAACAAATCTGATGAATTTTTGAAAATCTTCATTCCCATGTAAACCAATTGGAAACAGTAGGTTTGCTGCAAGTCATAGAACAGAATATCGATATGTTTCCTCGGGTTCAACAAAGTAATAGGTCTCCAAAGTCAAAATCATTTTTCAAGAAACCTCTCCCATAGTAGGCAAAAAATGAATTTCAAAAATGACTTTGAAGCTCTGTAACGTTAAGCGAGCAAAAAAGTTAGACAATTCAATTTTCTATATAAAAATATCTTTAGTGGATGAAAAAAGATATCCAGAAATCTAATTTTCAAAAAATTCATCAAAGCCATCAATTTTTGACCGATTGTGATTTGTAGGAATTAGGGAAAATAGTTACATCTCCACCTTTATCGTAAGTGCTTTATAGTCCAGTGGGGGAGCTAAGGTTGCCAGACTTTTGGAGGGAAGTGTATTTTTACATATATTTCATCTTTTTGATTCATGCCTCGGAAAATCCTTAAGATCTTTTCAAAATGAAATGAATCAAAGGTATTTGAGAACAAATGTCACATATTGTAGTCTTTTTGCTTTTGAAAATCCAAAGTGGTTACCAAAGTCTAGCTTTGCTTTATTCAGATAATATATTAAATGTAAATGAAAGGTTTTTATATGAGTGTTTTGGGAGTATTGTCTATTGTGAGATCTTTCAGATTCATGCAAACTTGATTCATGGATTATATGTTTGTTCAGTAGGATTTGCCACTTCCAGTTGCTGTTTTTGCAATCGCTGTGTCAACATTCGTCACAATAAAGAAAACTCTGTGTGACTCCTGGTTCAAAAGCTTGCCAATAGCAAAATGGCCACCATTTTTGTCACAGAAAAGTCACTTTTTAGCTACACAATGTGAGCCCAGTATCCATGGTACTATTAATGTAGTTTCATTTCTCAAATCATCTCTGCGAGGCCTGAATTTGAATGTAAATAAAAGTTTAGCATCTCCCTCCATAAAAATCTTGGAAGCAATTTGTAACCAAGGAAAGAAACCTTGCATAGCCATAACTTCATACTAGTAGTATTAGACCCTGTATCAGCCAAAATCCGAAAATGAATAAGTTTCTGAAATAAAATTATGGCTATTGATGGTCATGATGGAATATGAATTTTGTTCTCAAGAAAATATATTAGCCTTAGAAAATATCATATTGGCACTCTGGCTGTCACCCTCGGTCAATATGATATTTTCCTTGGCCAATATCATATTTTCCCTAGGAATAGAATTCATATTCCATCTCTCTCATTCATTACATATTGTCATCAGAGAGAGAGAGATGTCATAGATTAACACTGAAAATAGAGTTGATAATCCTACATTGAACTACATGTAGTGTGATGCTCCCCAATGATAACAATAATTGACTTTGTGATCAGATATAATAATATGTATTTTCCCAGATAAAAAGTATACCTATACAAATGTTTGATCTATGGAACAAAGTTGGAAATTGAGTATCCAGATAAAAAAAAGGTTTATTTAATTATATTTTAAATGCACCTACCTCTTAAGGGATCAAGCGAAAAATAATTTCCTCTAATCTTGAATCCCAAAATGTGTGAGAACTGCCTGAAGTGTGTTGACGTGTGTTGGAGTGTTTCTTGTTTTCTTTAATCTAACTGATTTCACTCAGTTTCATGAACATGATCATCATTTACTGATTCCACGCAGTTTTATGTTTCAAAACATGATCCTCATTACCATATCATGTTTCAAAACACATGGTCATAATTTCTTTATTTCACTCCATTTCATGTTTCAAAATATGATATCATTACATTCCTCGAAGCAACCCGATTGTGAAATTATTCTTAATTTCTGGATAGAAACATAAAGCAAATATTTCATTCTATGTTCGGGCAATACCTTTTCACCTTTCAATGCTTTTTGGAGTTTATATTGCCCGCAGCCAATCAAATCACACCATTTCTAGCAATGATATAATAATTGATTTTATTTTACATTTGCTTGCAGATTGTTTAAGTACCCAGATGTTGTGTACAGGGTTGTTGTCATAGCAACAGTATGGCTCGTAGGATTCCAGATGTGAGTAACTTATCATCTTTCTTATATAACACCTCAGCATTTTACAGCCAAAACCTTCAGTGGCGTAGCGTCATATACGCATAAAACGCCATAGCGTACTCTCAAAGTTTAGAGAAAAGTGAATTTTTGATATTGAAATGACCCACGTTTAATATTCTGAAGTAATGGCCTAACATTTTATTAATCCATATTATTTTTTCGATTTTTTGATTGCTCTTAAAAAAGTTCTGTATTTTCATTATCTTGATTGGCATGTGTGCATGCGTCTGTTCGGATGTGTGTGGATGGTCATCACATAAATCTTGTCATCAAAATTCCAGAAAAACTGCTTATCTGTTCAACTTGAAATCTTTTTTGATGCTAGTGACAAAATGTGGTTACATTTTGGGCATGCTTGGTAAAGTACACGGTGGCCCTAAAATCAGAAATGGGCATGCTTGATAAATTACATGGCAATGATGCTCTTCAAAGAGTGGTATTCATCACTGTATGTCTTGTTGCATCTGCTTGTAATTTTGGAAAAGCTGTATTGGTTTCCTTTTGTACTTTATAGTATTTCTACCTACATGTCAATAATGCCGATTCAGATTTGTTATTCGAAAATGAAAATTGTTTGTTGGAATTTGTATGTGAAATGAATGGATTAAGGAGTGTTATGTACAATCTTTTGTATCAGTTTGAAATTTAATTGTTCATATTGATTTTATTTAAGCAACATTGCATACATGAAATTTCAATTTTCAGGAAACCCCTGTTACCCCTGTGACTAACTATATTTGGTAATTTCAGATCACCCCACCATCCTGGTTGCGGGACTACCAGCAGCAGTCATCCAATCGTGGGGCACTTCTGGAGACCCCAGATCAGCCTTTAATGGACATCGATGACCACCAAGATGATGCTCTACTTCCAACACCATACCAGGAAAGACATGGTTTACTTCCTACTCCAATGGACTCTGATCCCTATGATGAGTACCATTACCCTGGACAAGGGCAGGGGAGGTATCCAAGAGGTTATGAGACAGACTCTTATAGACATCATACAGAAATGGATTATAGACGTTATAGAGAAGCATACCCACAATCTGCAAGACCAACGGAGGGTAAGCTTCAATCTTGGTTACAAAGAAATTTAGTAAATCGTATTAGTAGCCAATCGGAGCATTCAGGCTATGGACAGAATCGATATAGAAATCAACGTGAATGTGACTATGATCGAACATATACTGAAGATAATGACCCTTATCGACCAGCAGTAGTGTCTTCTAATACCCCTTGGGATGACACTGAGTCGGATGAGAGAAACTCAGGTAATGTGCGGGTAATTGATAAAACAGATACAAACCCACGCAACAAGCCTCTTCATGTTACCCCTAATAAACCATGGGTAACAGCTAATGAGGTTGACCCTCTGAAGGTCTCTGAGGAACAAGACTTTGATCCTCATAGCAATTGGCAATCTGACGAAAACTATGCAAACTTGAATAGACCCACCGGTCCCTATATGAACAATGACCAAACATGGAGTACAAAAAATGAACCCGTGTATGCTTCGTCAGAGAAACCATGGGTTCAGACAGCACCTAAAGAAAAGAGTAGTGGTGCCTTTAATCCACTTGTAGCTGCTGCAGCAAACATTCTAGCCAAATTTCCTAAACCATCAAAACCCCCCACCCCCCAGAGAGCAGAGTCCACAACAACCGATCCTGCCACAAGCCAATCAACTGGTGCTGCAGATAACACTCAGGAGTCAACAGAATCTTTAATACCTCTCATGTTGGGAGGTAAAAAGGACAAAACCAATGCACATGATGATAACACAGACTTTGAGAACTCAGTGACTGATAGCACTGTGACATTAGAAAGCACCATTGCAGAGACTATTGATATGGATAGAAGTCGGTCGAACAGTCCTATGGTTCAGATTCATTTAAAGGATGGTAGGTTTGTAGTTAATAAAGAAAATGGTAGTAATAAATCAGGTACAACCTCAGATCAAGCTAGTCACACAGAATCACAAAAGGACAATGATCCAAATGTTATGGCTGATCTTCAGAAGCAAATTGCAGCTCAGTTAGCAATTTTAACAGGTCAGGTTCCTATATCATTAGATTCTCCATCACAAGTTGATAAGACTGGTATATCAGAAAATCAAGTTGGTATAAAAAGTGGTAGTCCAGTTAAAAGTGAGAGCCCAGTTTCATCAGGTGGTGGCTCTCCCAATACTAAAGATGATGAGGTTCTTAAAGTAGAGGGTTTAGACATTGCAACACATGCTTCCTTTCTTGATACATTGAGTGGATCTGTTCCACCTAAGGATCGTGCCAACCCCATGTCTGATAAAGCCTTACCAAATGAACAAAGTACAGGTCAATCTTCAACTGTAGCTGATATTCCTTTACCTGAAGATTCAAGCCTATCTAGACAATCCACTCCAACCAAAAAACCATCAATTGCTAAACAAACATCCCCATTCAAGCCAGCTGATGTGTTGAAACAAATCGAAGTCTTGAAAAAGCAAGTCACAGAAAACAGTGGAGCTAATGCTGAGGAAACAAAGAAACAAATCAGCCAGTTAAAAAAGAAGGTTGCTGAGAATCTTAAACAATTAGTCCAGCAAGCTCAAATGAAACTTGTTAAGCCAGAGAGTGAGACAGTTGATAAAAAGGAAGAAAAATTGAGAAATGAGGTGAAGAAACATCATAGTGAGAAATCAAAGCATCACTCTAAACGACATGAAGAAAAGCATTCACGATCACATAGAAGTAAAGACTCCCAAGAAAGAGAGAGGGAGAAGCACAAAGAAAGAGAAGCTAGAAGGAGAGAGAAAGAAAAACATATGAAAGAGAAAGAAAAACACATGAAGGAAAAGGAGAAAGAAAGCCATAAAAGTGATGAAAAACAAACTGAAGAGAAAATTGATGATGATAATGCAGAACACATAGAAGATGGTGAAATATTTGATACTCCTCCAAGAGAGGTAACCAGTCCTGAAATAATGAACCATCCATTATCCACTCATAACACCACACAAGGCTCAAATTCAGTCACTGCCAACCTAACAAATAAACCTGGAATTCAGATCCAATTAATGGATGGCAAGTTTATTGTTAATAAGGAAAGCAGTAGTTCTGAGGTACACAAATCAACAAAGCTTGATGTTAATAACAAGAAACAGATGATGAATGATGATCTCAATCAATCACCAGTTGCATTCAGTGGACAGACTGCTGCTTCTAATGATCCCAGGAAAGCATTTTATGACAAAAGTCCTTCCCGCATACCATCTCTTATGGCACACGTTCAACCACCCCTTATGCCTCATGAGCTCCTTTCCCCTGATGTAAAGACAGCATTTAAGCTCAGTATGAATCAATCAGCGAGTAATGTAAAACCATTAATGGGTGAACAGGAGAAGTTAAGCAGTATTAAACCTTTAATGAGTCAACCTGTAAAACAACAAGATCCCAGGAGAAGTTTTTACAAAATAGCTAAAGATCCCAGGACTGTTGGGATTGATCAGTCGAAGATGCACATATCTGCACAATCAGATCTTTATTCTGCTAAAGATGTTACTAATAAAGTGAATGAACCCCATAAGACCTACCTGCCAAAACCTGGGGATACCCCATATAATGGACCTGCTACTTTACCACACAGTCAACAAAATAGAGCACTCCTTACTATGGTCCCAAGGAACATCAGGGTTAAGAGTGATTCTCCTAAACCAAAGACACTAGGTTTGAAATCAAACACAGCTGCTTCAGATAAAGACACTGATATTAGATCTCAGAATCAGAATCTTATAGCACTCACACCAAGTGGAAATGCTTCAATTGAATTGCCAACAAATTCTGCAGACAGTAATGTCCAAGGTAGTCAGAAATCCACACACAATATGCAGAGGAATATTGACTCAAAGCAGGAACAAGGTCATTCTAATTTTTCTCACGATGTAGATATGAGAGTACCACTTCTCCCTACCCCACCACCAGCCAATAAAGTTTTAATTGACATTAAGCTTGATGATACAGATTTCACTGTTGATTATACAGAAAAGATTCCAGGTATTAAAACACAGAAATCATCCAGATGGGATGTCAAGACGAGAGAAATTGGCCAAAGTCCTAGAGATATTGTAAGCCCAAGACAGATACAAACTAGTCCTAGAGATGTACCAGGCAGTAGTCCACGAAGTGTGCTTTCCAGCCCAAGAGATTCAATAAGTAGTCCAAGGGATGTATCTAATAGCCCAATTGGTTTGAGTCCAAGAGATACACCTAGTAGCCCAAGAGAGGCACAGCACAGTCCAAGGGGGGAACCAATATCTGTGGTAAGCCAGAAACGCCCGGACGTATCCATGCAAAAGAAGGCACATGATATCTGGACCAAAGGTGCATATATGCCAGTTCAACCATCCAGTATATTAAAGAAAACACCTTCAAATTTCTCAGAGGAGGCAAAGAATGTCCCATATACAAACAACTCATTTAAAAAGCCATCATTCAAAAAACCTGAAAACAGTTATAATGTGAAACCCAACAATGTTAAACCAGTAAAGCCACCTGTTACTGATCTCAATAAACAAACCACATATTCAACACAGAGAATAAATGCAGAAAATATGAAGAAAATGATGGTACTATCTTCAAAAAAGGAGTCTTCTGGCAAGTCACTTGATATACAAACAAAAGAGAAAAAGGGAAGCAGCAAACCTATTACCTCAAAAATGATGTCTTCACCTAACATTGACAATGTGTCACACCCACTTGGGAAATATAGTATTCCAAAGAAATATAAACCACCACAACATGACATGAAGATGCCAGACAAAGAGTCAGTTGCATCCTTCAAAATACCCAAGAAAAATAAAGCAGAAGAACAACAGCAAACAGCTTTTGCTAAACCAGCCAAATCTGATAAAAAGGATCCAGCCGATGATTTGAAAAAATTAGAATCCAAAACAAATTTAAAGGTTAAGATTGAAAAAAAGTCTGATGCCGTTCATAAAGTTGAGAGTAACAGGAAGAGAGAAAAGGCAAAAAGAGATGAAGAGGAAAAAGAGAAAAAGTTACATAAAGTGAAACAAGAAGAAACCAAACATTCAGAGAAGAAAGTTGATGATTCTAATAAAGGAACAAAACAAAGTCATCAATCTGAAAAACAATTTAAAACATCTGAAAATCTTACTGAAAAACCATCAAAAGCTCAAGAAATGGTCAAAGTACCGAAAGTAGATGCCTCCGTAAAAACTCCAGAAATACTAAATATCAAAGAAAAGGAAAATCTTAACGGAAATGGGTCAGGCTGTGGAACTGATATGGAGATTGATTTGGATGATATAAATATTGGAGAAGAAATAGATGCATCAGACCTGGAGAGTGCTATTGCATCATCATTTGGTGATGAACCGAAAAAGCCAAAAGAAGAACTCCCTATCAAATGTTTGGATTGTGAAACCAGTTTTAAACTACAAAGGGATCTTGATGCTCATAGATTAAAGTGCCCCAAGGTTTTAGAAAAGGAAAAGGGTGATAAGTATGAATCGATATTTGAAAGTGTTTTAGGGAAAAAAGAAATTACAAGCACTAGTAGTGTTAAGACACTTGTTTGTAAGCTATGTGAGTACTCAACTAAAGACATCAGTGTTTTTGAGACACATGTAGAACATCATGGCTGTGATGCTCCTTACAAGTGTGAACTTTGTAACTACGCCAGTGAACGTAAAACTGCAATCAAGCTCCATCAGACAAAGTTCCATAGTTTTAAGGCGTCAAAGTATTTTAACAGCAAAATGAAGACTTATGATTGCAAGGAGTGTGAGTATACTTGTCTCCGTTCTACCAATTTAAAAACACATTTGCGATACCATAATGTCAAGGGTATGTTCAGATGTGAAGTATGTTCATTTTCTTGTGAAAAGGAAGGAAATATTTCTCTTCATGAAAGGAAGTATCATAAACATCTGATTGGCAGTGATGATGAAAGAGATGATGACAATGAAAGCAAAAAGAATGCACGGTCCTCTCCAAGACTGACACACCCAAAAGGACACAGACAAAATTATCTTATTTCAGAAAAAGACAGTGATATAATCTCAGGTAAATCTAAATTGAATGAGAAAAGAAAATGTCCTGTTGATGGATGTCCTTATTTGATACGAATGAATAAAAAAACTGAACTTACGAAACACCTGTTGTGCCATGAAGGCAGAGGAAGTTACAAGTGCAGTGAATGTAGCTATACAAATGACAGTATGATCTCTTTGAAACTCCATAAAAGATTACACATCAAGTATGGTCGAAGATATGTCCATGAAAGCTCTGAAGATGAAGAAGAACAAACAAAAGTATTACATTGCCCAAACAGGTTATGTCCATTTGTGACAAAACTGAAGCAATCATTAGATGTTCATATTCGCCATCATAATCAAAAATTTAAGTTCAGATGTGCAAAGTGTGGCTTTTCATGCACATCACGATCATCTTTGTACCACCACCAAAAGAGTCATGATAAATTATTGACTGATGTTAAGGAAAAAATAATGTCACCTGTTAGAGAACCTGTTGGGAAAATACCTAATGCAAAACAATGCAAGCATTGTGACTATGAGTCAAGAAATCAATCGTTGTTGAAAAGACATAACAAGTTCCATTATAGAAACAGAAAGAAGAAACACAAATGTGTAAAATGCTCATACTCTTCAGATTATAAGTCTACTGTAGCTGAGCATGAAAAGCTACATCATATTGTAAGAATTCACAAATCATATAGGTCATTAAATAAGTTACGATTCATCAAGAAGAAATATGACCCAAAGAACCTGATAAAGAGGGGATGCCATGTTCTCATTGAAAATATAGATATTGAACTGGGAGAGAAATTCACTAATATCACCACCAATAAGAAATTAAAGAAGCTTATCCAGCAGAAAAAGATCAAAGATAAAGCAGAAGATGACAAAGAGCCTGAGAAAGACTTTGAACCTAGTATAGATGTTGACTTTGAAGATTTGACACAGTTCTATTGTCAGCTGTGTCCATATAACACCCCGAATAGCCAGTTTTACAGGAGGCATATACTACATCACAACATTATAAGTAACCATACTTGTCATGTTTGCTCCTACAGCTCCAATGACTTTGATGCTTTGAAGCGCCATGTAGAATGGCACAATGAGAAAAGCTTGCTCATTGAGAACAAAACAACATATGTACAAAGATTTGAATATAATTGTAGTCTTTGTGGCTATAAATCAAATTCAGGAAAGGCATTCATGTATCACAAAGAATGTCATAGTTACAAGTATCACTACAGATGCCACCTTTGTAGCTATAGTAATGACCTTGCCCTGAGAGTTCAGTATCACTTCAAGAGACATCATACTTTCCCAGAGCTAGAGCAATCAGACCATATGCTCAATGAAGCTGTTCAAAAGAGAGATCTGAAGCCTAGATTTATAAATAAAGGACCTGATTTTGTAAGATGTGCATTTTGTCCATATAAAACAGGTGTGATTGAGAATCTTGAAAGGCATCTACAGTTTCATAAACAGAACACCCAGTACAGGTGCAGCTATTGTTCGTACAGTTCAGTAAAGCAGGAAACACTGAACAAGCATGTGAGACTTCACTTTGGTACATTCTGGGAGTCTCCACGTAGCATCACCAGTCTTGAAGATATCCCAGAACCAACAAATACAGGTCTCTATCGAATCAGGGAATTCATACCTGCTAAACCCAAACCCATTATAACACAAGAGGAGCCAATCGAGAAAGAAAATATTGTCAACATGGAAGTAGATGGCCCTATGAAGACTGAGGAAGGACATTTTGACCAATGCGAGAGTGAACTTGAAGCTGTATCAACTGCTGATGATGCTGATGGGGAAGAATCATTAAGTACATCAGATTGTGAATCTGTTGCTAAGCCTAACCTTACCACACTGACAGGTACAAATCAGAAGACATACTCTGGATTGAATATGTTTGATAGCATCAAGAAATACAGCACGATGCAGTCCAGTGATTCATTTTCTGAAAGTGAAACAGAAGGAAAGGGTTCTCAATGTATCAAGTTGACATCTAGTGGAATTGAAACTGTTGTGTCCAATATTATTGATAAACTTATAACAGATGATGAAACCAATGAACCTGAAATGGAACATCCAGAAGAAAAAGATTATCATAGTAGCAAATTGACCACTAGTGGAATTGAAACTGTTGTGTCCAATATCATAGATAAACTTGAAACTGATGATGAAATAAATGAACCTGAAATGGAACATGCCATAAAACCAATGAACAAATTTATAGATGGAGTCACTGCCCTGTTTGATCCAGCTGACATTCAGGATGTTGTTTCTAACATCATAGACACTCTTGCATCAGACCATGAAGTAAGTGATATGGAGACCAACAAAGACCAAAATGGGGTAGCTGAAACAATTGATGTTGCGCAACATAAATCAAATGAAACAACTGAAGGAAAACCCTGTCAAACAGACGAAGATGTAAATGTATGTCCAGAGGCAAATGACTGCTCATCCAACCAAAGCATTGAATGTGAAATGAATACTGTACCAGATGATACTATGGTTGATGACAAGACAGATATTGTTCAAGATGATCAGTCCAGTCCAGAATTTGTTGCCCAAACAAATGAAGTCGGATGTCCTACAAATCAGCAGGACACTCAGTTTGTGCATCAAAATAGAGCTGATGATCTTGGTGATAATGTCCTTGATCCAATTGAAGAAAATATGGATGGTATTTACAAGAAAGATAATACAGATGACAGTAAGAATGAAAATAAGGAAGGTGAAAATGATAGTGACAATGAGGATAGAAATAAAAAATGTGATGACAGGGAAGACCAAGACAAAAATAAAAGATGTGACTCTGACAGTGACAGTGAAGATGAACAAAAGAGAATCAACAATCCCCAAGTTGGTAACTTTGAGAATACAAATATATGTGATAAAAATAATGAAAGCAATGACGACAATAACAAATCTGAGCAGGATAGTGGCAATAAGAATGGAAATAACAAAAATAATGACTGTGATGCTATAAATGAACAAAATGAGGAGGCTGAGAGTTCAGAAGATGAGGAGATTGATTATTCCAAGGATAACGTGCATAAAGTTCTATGGGCTAGAAGAAACACAAGGAGTTCTCGAAAGGCTATCTTAGATATATTAAATGTCCAGAAAGAGGATTTGATATCAGAGAGTCAAAAAGTGGATTCCTCAGAAGAATCAAATCTGGAAGATGATGCGGAGGACTGCGAGAAGGTGGAATCAACAACTGAAACTAAAGATACTGCAAATTCAAGTGATGATGACATACCTTTAGATAGTGTCAAAATTGCAATGCAAAGGTTGAGAAAACGACCTCGGAAAATATCAGAAAAAGAACATTCTAAAGCTAAAATTTCAAAACATACACAAGGTAAAGAACATATGCAAAATGATAGTATTGTAAAAGGTAACGATGCTCAACACATTCCTGGAAAAATTCTGAAATCAGAAATTCCTTCAGATTCCAGCGAAAGTGAAGATGAACAGCCCACTGTTGTAACTACAAGATCTAGAAAAACATTTCAAAATAAATCCAAAGTCAACAATAAAACAGAACCACATAAAGCAAGTGAAAGTGATAAAATTGATGATGATCCCAATGCATTTTTTCAAAAATGTGAAAAGTCTTCAAATAAAAAAACTAAACAAAAGCAAAATAAGTCTGACCTCAAAACAAAATCCCCAAATCCTACAAAATCGAAGTCCAAAACTACTAAAGGCAAACTGAAGAGCACTAAATCAAATAAATGTGATACAAGTGATGAAAGTGATGATGAGTCCATCAATGTTGAAGCACAGAAGAACCATGAAGATACATATTGTGCCAGCCATATCCAAGAAGTAACCTACTCACATAATCATGTTAGACTGAAAGCTCTGCTTCAAGATTACGAAAAAGACCTGGATGTTTTAAAAAGATTGAGTTTCATTTTAGAAGGTCAGGTGATGGTATGGAAAGAAGAATATACAGAGATGAAGGAACTTGAAAAACAATGTGATATTCTTGGGCAGAATGAAGTCCATATTCCTCAGTCCATTATAGATGAACACCCCTATTTTGTGTATAGAGGAAGCCATCAGAACTATGCAAATGGTAATATGATTCCAGATGAAATCTTAGATGATATTGAAGACTCTACTTGCATACATGATTATAATGATGTAACATTACTATTTAATGACTACATAGACAATGAAAATATTTCTCCTAATGAGGATCTGATGATTCATGACCTCACACTGGAATATGATATGAGTGAAACTGATGATGCAACTAATCCAAAGGGTGTGATCGAGGAGCAAGAAGGGATTTTGATTGATGGGACTAAATACATTGGTAAAGATGACTTTGGTAATACTGGAGAAAACGATGCATATCATGCAGCAAAAAAAGATGCAAATGTGGTATATACAGAAGATGATTTCTATGTTGTCAAAGTGAATTCAGACACTGATTATACTACAAGTGACAATGCTATGAGTGACACAGATACAAAACAAGTTGGAGAAACACGCATCTCTCCTCTGTCAAGTTTAATTGCGGATGCTGAAAAACAGTTTGGAACAAGTGAGCAACTTGAAATAACACAAATGACAACAAATATTAAACCTGTGTCTTCCAGTCAAACATTGTCTGTTCCTCCTTCTGAAATTGAGAAAACATCAAGAAATCAACAGATAGCAGAGACTGCCTCCTCAGAGACTGAATCCACTAAGTCATTACCTAATGCATCTATTCAATATGTGCCTACTTCCTTTATCCTTGATCATGCAGAAAAACAATTGGAAAAAATAGATCAGGAAAAGAGAAAAGGGTCATTCAACATTCAAATTCCGCCTGTTTTTCAAATGGTTTCAACTCCCTTCATTGCACCAACTGATCTTGTTCACAGTCAACCAAGTCCAATATTAGAAAGTACTATCTCTAGCAATGTTGCTTCAGAACTACAACAGTCAATGGCACAGACAAATAATCCTGCTAATGATAAAGATCCTGGAGTAACAACATTGTCAAAACATTCAGACAGAAAAATAGTTAGTTCTATTGAAGACCCTGTAAGTCAAACCTCTTCAGCAAAAGAAATTCAAAATTTTGTTAGTTTAGCTAAAGAACCAGCAACTCCAAGTAAAGGTGACACTAATGATGAAGTTGGAAATCAGTCTGAACTAAAGACCAGTGCTGATAACTGGAATGCAAATACTGCTAAACCTATCAACCCTCCTCCAGAGATTTATGCCACAACTGACAGAGATGGAATGCTACACTTTCAAAATGTTAAACCACCTCAACTGGATGAACATTCCAGTTCCTCTCCTGGTGTCCCTGATGAATATCTTGCAACATATGATAAAGAATGTGTTCAGGCACCAGCAAATGATCTGAACCAAACTGATGGTAAGGAATATTTGTGTGACCCTACAACTAGTGTATCTAAATTAGACAAGGGGCCTTTATTAGACGACAGGGTGTGTATTCATAATTCTTTTCAAACTTCTAAAAATATGGTTGCTTTGACAGACAGAACTGGAAAATTGTGCTATAAAGTATTCAATCCTCATGAAGTGACTAAACATCCTCATGAAGTGACTAAACATTTTCAACATCATAGCTCAATGGATAATCTAAAAAGAAAAAGGGGAAGATCCAAGTCTCCTGTATCAAGTACACCCAAACTGCAAGAACAACAAGTGTATTATCTTAATAATGGAAGTGGATCTAAATCTCCATCAAATTACCATCACTTTCAGAAAATAAGTGCCAGTGACATATTATCAAAGGGAGTTGTGGTTGTGAAACAACAATATCCCATACATGCAGAAGAAGACTGCGCAGGTGATATTATGAAACCCAAAAGATGTGATGATGTTGATAATACAGTTAGTGCAGGTCCTGATTCAGCTAAAAATATCGATGACAAAAATATCAGTCCATTGTCAGGGAATTCTATAGAAGCAGGTAAAAATGTTGACCATACCAATGACAGTTGCTCAACATCTTGTTCCACACCATTTTCTGTATCCCAAAAGTTGGACATTGACTCTTCAAATAATATTACTACACCAGAGAAGACCATCATGGAGCATGATCCTCTTTTATGTGATGAAGTACTACCAGATTCAAGTGATGCTGGACTGTCAAGTGGCGATATGGATTGTACTAAAGACACAAATAAAGATGAAACAAATCTTGGATATATAGAGGATGATCCAACAAGTGACAATGATGATGATGAAATTGACCAGAGTGACATTGAAGTGAGTCATAAAGATGAAACAAATCTTGTACATATAGAGGATGATCCAACAAATGAAGATGATGATGATGATGAAATTGACCAGAGTGACATTGAAGTGAGTCGTAGTCCAACTCAAACTCCATATAGTGATATATCAGAGTCTGAAACTGGCATGACAGATGTTGATCAAATACCTGAACCATGTAATGATGAAGTTTTAGATTTAGACCCAACATTCATCTTGAAAGATGTGTCAACAGTGAAGGAACGCATATTTAATGATCAAGATGACTTTGAGTTGAAAAATATTGAACCTCTTAAGATACCACAGAATCATGACGTAAATGTCAACGATATGCTGAAGGAGTTTCCAATTATGAAAGGAGGTACATATACTGATGCTGACAATGAGCAAGACATGAGTAAAACTCCAATCCAAGATGAGAATCTCGCAAGATGTGATGAGAAAGGCTATGATGATGAGCAAGACATATATGAGTATGAAAATTCTGATATTTGCTCATTTGATCAAGAACAGTGTGACAATGACCCAGTTATAATGGATGGAGAATATCTAGACATCAGTGAAAATGAAGACTTTGACCCAAGTGATGAATTACAAAATAGCATCGTTGACACAGAAGTAACCGACGTGGCTGTTAAATATACAACGGGCCAAGAAGATAAATCATCAAGTCAGTTTGATAATGCAGGTGCTGAGAATGAAAACCACCACACTGAAAAGTCTATATCTCTAGAAGGAGTCCAACACGATAGAACACCAACTCAAGATGTTGTTGATTATGAGAAACATCCTTCTTGTGATAAATTAGGTGATGAAAAGGTAGATA